GCGGCACTTGCACGGGCTCGGATTCAGAAGTTGGGCCATCCGATCTCATTTGGCCCTCCAAGTGCAGGTGTCCGGGGGATATACCCGTCCGGGGTACCGCGTCAACGACGGCAGGCAGGAGGAGGAGGACAAGGAGGAGGAGGAGGAGGAGGAGGTCCTGCTTCGCACTTTAACAGCAGTTGATGTGGGCCAGGACTGCCTTTGCACACGTTGGAAGAGGCGAGGACGACACTTGGCATCAGCTCGTTTCTCAGGCACAGCTGTGCGTGGAGTCGGGCGCCAATTTCCAAGTGCCCATCGCCAACGCCAAGCGCAGTCGGGACGAGCACATGGACAACCCGTAAGACCAGCTGGCGGCTTGTTCGGCGCAGCGGAGCGATCGGGCCTACCACTTCGACCGCTTCATCAACCACAGTGAGCACCTCAGCCGCGTTCTTGCGGAGCAAGTCACCGCCTGGGTCGACATCTTTGCTTTCGTCAGCGGGCATCTACACAGGGCGACCTCAGCCGCGAAAGGTCTTCAGGATACCCTTCGGGGCACCCAAGGCAATCCAGCAAGTGGGACGCTCGTGCGTCAGCTGGACGAGCAGAACGGCACACTACGCGGCTCAGTCGGGAACGACGCCGGCCATTGGTTCACCCGCGATGGCGGAGCCCCGTCGCTCCGCATCGGCCGCACCGTCGGGGAGAATCCCGTGGGCGAGGAGGTCAACCCCGGCAGCCAGCACAGCTGCTCTGCAAGGGCGTGCCCCGCTCCTCCTCTTCATCGGCAGGGCGGTGATGGTCCCCTGCCGTGGGCGTCGGGCCAGTCTCTGGCTCCTCTTTGCCCCAGAGCGAGCGGTGTCGCTGTAGATCGGTACCAGGTCGTCTTGCTCACAGTCGGGGGTGTTACTTTTGCCGGGTCAGAGGTCAGCATCGGCAGAGCTCGGGCCCCTCAGGTGGACGCAGTGTTGAGCAGGCTCACGGGCGGCGCGGGAGGTGCAGTCCGAGGGCCGAGAAGTCCGACAGGCAATCTCCGACATCTCAGAGGACCTCCAGAGGCGGCGATCCTCCACCTGAACAGGAAGGTCAGGGGCGCAATCCAGGGGTTCCTTTAGCCCCAGCTTCCAATATGTTGGTGGTGTTTCTTCGGCGGGGTTTCCATCGTTTCAAATTCCCACTTCTGGAGAGTGGCTTCTGGACCAGTCATGCCATGTTTTCACATATGATGCAGAGCATCACTACAACAGCCTCATTTGCAAACGCCGGGGCCTTTTTATGTTTCTTCCTCCTCTGCCAGGCGATTTGGGGGAAGGGGCAGGACCGCCAGCGCAGCTCATGCTGAAGTTCGACCCAGTTTTGGCCCATGTAGCAGGGTGATGCTGTGGATCGGTTTTCCTGAGCCAGGCATTATGAGGTTCGGCGTGCAGGAGTTTGAGTTCGCACTGCGTGATCGGATCTGTCTCTCCCGCCGAACTCAAGGTCTGGGGGATCTGGCAGTGTTGGCACCCATCTGTTAGTGCCTGACGCGGTGCCGCTAGATTTCGGTAGGTCACCGCGATCACTGCAGTGCGAACACCCGCGCTCTATGCATACCAGTATCAAGGATGAGGCGGCCCAGTACTTTGACAGTGGTTTCGGATCCTCTCCCGAATCGTCGTCGTCAAGAAAAGGGGGCGGCAGTTAAGCGGCTTATCATTCGGAGGTTTCGATTTGAGAAGCTCACGCGCGGGCGCGGGGTCGTCCGCGGCTTCTTCTGCAGCCTCGGGGGTCCTTCGAGCCGGCGCAGTGGCGCGAGAAGTTATCTCCAGCGGCTGGTCGTGCCACGCAGTCTTTTGCGCTGGGCGATCTCCTCGGGCGCGGGAGAGCACGCGCGCGCTCTGGGTCACCCATTCGGCTTCGTGACGCGTGGCAGGCCCCGCCGCAAAGCTGCCCCTCCTGCTTGCGGAGAGGGGGCCGGTTTCCAGCGAGTCTTCGCCGCAGCAGCCCGCAGTAGCGCTCCCATCCCCAGCAGTGCGCTTCCCGACCGCACTCTGGCGACAAGGCAGAGGGGCGCGACGAGTGATGCTGATGGCTTCGGCTTCTCTGATATTCATCCGCCACAGTGTGCCTGGTGTAAATTGCGCAATTGGCCCGTTCCCTGCAGCAGGAACGGGAGGTGGCATTGTCCAGGTTCTAAATGCAGGGGTGATCTCCCCGCTGACTGGATGCCGAAGTGTTGGATTTGTGGCGAAAGCACTTGGGAGGGGCAGTTGTGCGGCAAGAGTCTGAAAAACCTCGACAAGGGCCTTGGACGCCGAGAGTGTTGGGTCAAAGGGCCTGCTTCTGAGGTGCAACCCAAATGGATTCGACGGTTCGCTGCCAGAGCCGCCAGACATCCTGAAGCCTTCCCGCCAGAGCCCAAGTTTGAGAAGCTTCAACCTGCTGCCACTGCGTGACCTCAATCGTTTGTGCTTCCTTGTTTGCGTTGCGCGCTACGTCGGCTGCGATGTTTATTGTGTTCGCCGTCTTCAGTGGCGGGCGTCCTCCCCGTGCTCTCGCGGCACCTGTCTACGGATGATTGTTAAGTTATGTGTGGGGCAGTGCGGCTGGCGGCGCGCGTGGCTCAGCAGTGCTTCCTTGAGGTATATAGGCATCCTCAACGCTCGGCTGTCCCTTGCAGTCAGGACATGCGTTCGGCGCTGGAGGGCGCTCGGCCTCCCGTGCTTGGGGCAGGGGTAATCGCTCGCAAGCGCGTGGAGGTTTATATTAAGATGATCGCGTCGTTGTTTTCATCCTTTCCTATCCCATCTGTTCCCTCCTTCCTAGTTCCCCTTTCTTTCACGGGCCCCTCTTCTATCCCCGTCCTCGCGGCCACAGCTGGCAAGCGAGAAGTTATCGCCCCTCGTAAAGGGCCGCAGCAAGGCGATGCGTTGCGGAGCAGTCTGGACGGAGCAGTCTGCGGCCGAGAAGGGATACTAGGTATCAGACATGTGCTGCAGTTTGTGTGGTGAAGCTATTGACTCACTCGAGGACCGCCTGTATTGCTGCACCGCTTGCCAGGAGGAGCGTGGGGAGATTTGTGCGAAGC